CTTTTCATATTCATGAAAGATGGCAGAACCGCAGAAGAATGAAAGTAAACACCATGCATAATTTAACAGATATTCACCATGGAAATATTTTTAAGATTACCTGCAGAAGTCCCAGAAAAATGTGAATAATTAATGCCATGTGGTGTGAAAAACAACAGAGCCCTCATGCAGTTTGCCAAGCCTACTGCCTGCCTGATGGTACTGTTGATGGTGCAGTTCTGATGTAGCTGCAGTGGCCACTGGTAGAGATTTTATTCTTACAGTGTGGTGGTGGTGGTGTGTTCAGTGCCATGGTCAGGCTCATGAACTCACCTGCAGCCCCATTTCCACTAGCAGGCCATACATCTGCTTTCTCCCTGTCCCCAGAGCCCAGCTGTGCTTAGGAGAGTCAGATTTAGGCTGGATTTCCCTGGTGGTTGCCTCAGTGTTATTTCCAGCCAGTTGGTGCTTGCTGTGGCACAGAGTAAATGTTGCTAAATGCAACATTTTGATGGGTTGGGATCTGTGGTGAAGGATAGATAGAAAAGAGTGGAAGTCCTGTTGGGGTGCCACGCCTACCCACATACACCTGCTATGAAATAAAAAGGAAAAATACAGAAGGCAGAGTATAAAACACCAGAGATTAGCAAGGAGCAGAAGACTGGCGATACTGGTTGGGACTAGCATTCCCTCAAGAGCAGTATCCTCTGTCTAAAAGCAGTCAAATCAGCTGCTTCCAAGAAAGGACAAGAAACCTGGACGCTGCTATTACTGGACAGTTTCTTCCAGGTAAAACGTCTTTTGTACCTGTATTAAATGAAGAAGGTGTTGTGCCCTGAGAAATGAGTGTTTACACTCATCTCAGAGCTTCTGTTTTTCAATCCTTAGCAAATAATCTCTTTCAGCAACATGAATAGAAAGCTTTTCTTACACTGATGTAATGATTCCTGCATTCCAGTTTGGGTATAGGTTTGACCCTCTTCCAGTTTCAAGTCAGCAAAAATAAAGACCCATAGTGAAATAAAGGCAACAATAAGCAAGCAAAACGAGACCAAAACAAAATCAAAAATTTTCAAGAATTTAATTTAAGAAACCCAAGAGAGAAGGCACTGACAGGCCATCATCATTCCAGGTTGGGTTAATGCAAAGCCACAGAGCCCTGGGAAGGTGGTTTGTTCTCTTCCCTCTCTCTGTATTGTGTAGATATGGCCTTTGAGTAACCTGGGCATATAGCAGAAGAAATGTCAAGAGATCAAACTGAGTTTATTTTTTCTGGGAATACTAATCAAGCTTCAAGAAAGAAGAGGTCACTATTTTTTTGACGGGGTTTAGCAATTTCCCCCAGATGCTATGGCTGGTGCAGATGCAAAGTTCGTGTAATTCTGGGAAAGCTGCAGTCCTAGTGATGTTTCTTTGTTCTCTGAAGAGAGAAACCAATTAGAAAAATTAGCTACATATTTAAAACTCTAACTGCAACAAGTGAAGGCTTTTCTATTTATTGTATTGCAGGCACTTCAGTTTTTAGAAGAACAGAAATCACTGTGGGATTTGTAGAAAATTTGATCTTACAAGGCACCTCTTTCAGGAATTGCTGCAGGTAAGTCCTCCAGAGCACCATTTAATCAAATGGTTGTAGTCATTAACTATTTTTCACTAGAAGCCAGATATATTTAAAGAGTGAGATGATGAATCCTGAACACTCCAAAAAACAGTGAACAAAAACTCCCCAGTTACTTGAAAATTGCCTTAGGTTACACAGATGTAATTAAAATTTCATTTTAGTTTTTTAAAAAAATAATTATTTTACAAAGAGCTATTTTTTAATTAGAGAAGCCAGTTTCTCCTTAGCACATTTAAGACTTTGTCTGCATTGAATTAAGGTTTATGGATTAGAATACAGCATCCCTCCCCTCACCATTTCAGGCTTTACTGGGTGTGGGAGAAAAGAGCACACATGTGCAGGATCTTCCAGGCAGGCACTTCTGAGCCCTTGGCAAACATGACTCAATATCTGGAGGTGAGATCATTAGGTATTATTAGTGCTGTTGATTTGTACATGGCACAGAGAGACTGAGGTACTAAGGACTGCGCCTCATGCCTACTCCTTGTTGTGTATCGGGGTGATGCAGAGCCCAAGCAGTACATCTCTATGTGTTTGCACAGCCCTTGGCTGCAACTGTTGTCCCTTCTTCTTCTCCAGCCTGGGCCATACTCCTTCAGAAGGGAGAGGTGGCAGAGCCATGCCCTTCCCTCCAGCCAAGTGTCTCAGTGTTGGGCAGTGGGGGCTGAGCAGTAGCTCCATGGGCATGTGTGTCTGTGCGCCAGGGGGAAGATGAAGGGACACCCAGCATCTTGCTGGGATGAGGATGCAGCAGGGGCCAAACCTGGCACGTGAGGAGCTGCCTGAAGGCTGAGTTGGAGCCCGGATGCTATGAATCACCCCAGCTGTGTGATTTGCAGCCCTTCTTGTCTTCACAAGGAGCACAGCTGGTCCAGAAAATTTCCATCCACATTTTATATGGCAAAAAGGGCCTGGTTTTTGAAATATATTTTGTTTCTCCAGGTTTTGTCAAAGAGCTCAGCACAGACTACTGGTTTATGTCCCTAGACACCCTCAGGTTTCCTCTGTGCCCTTGAGAGTGAGTCAGGACCCCCACACCCACTGCTCCTTCTCCTTGCAATGGGAGTCACCAGTTTCCTTATGTCCCAGCTGTGTGACCAGGCTAAGGGCACAGAAAGCTGAGCTGGCAGCAAAAATGAAGGCAAGTATCCACTCTCGAATCTGAAAGGCAAAGAAGAGCTTGTTCTCTGGAAATCCTTTGGCTGCAAAGAAAACGGTCCTACTGCAAGCCCCTGCCAGGGAGGTGGGAGTGAGCTTCATAGTGAGAAGAGCAGAGCTCCCCTGGGAAAAGACTTTTTCCATCATTCCCACTTCATCGGTGTTTTTCTTTCAGTGTCTATTCATTGTTAATTATTGTTTCAGACTCTACCCATTTCTCCTGTCTTTTTTCCCCAGGCAATTGCTGCGAGGCACTTGAAGGTTAATGGGCCGTGTGTTTATTTTTAGCTCCACATCTCTTTAACATAGGAGAATGTGGCTGATGGCAAAATAAGCACCTCTAGCCAGCATGAACAATTTCTGCCTCCAGTGCCCTTCCAGAAATAATCTCATAATTTTTTTTCAGTGAAGTGATGGCAAATACCCCGTCACCTGCTTCACAAGATGCAACACGTGGACTCTTGCATCTCTGTGACAGGTGCCTGCAGGTAGAGATTGCCTGGAGGGGCAGAAATGCTTCCAGCAAATTGTAGTGCACCAGCTTCTGCTGTAGGTACACAGAAACACCAGCTCTCCAAACCAGAGAACACCCCAAAGAGGACACTGTTCCCCTGCACAAATTGTAGACTATGCCCACCACCCCAGCTGGAAGGACTTCATGAAAGCCACATCAGTGCTGAAGCTCCCCAGAAAACACGAAACTGTACTGAAGGGCTAGCCAGTGGTGATGGAGGACTGGGACAAAATGCTCACATAGACACGGGGACAGCCCAGAATAAGCCTGTGGGCTTCTGAGCAGAATTTGCCAGAAAAAATCATCCTCTTGGCCTGGGCTTTTAGTGTCTGAAACAGCTCGTGTGCCAGCACTGCAAGGGTGGTGCAGAGCCCTCAGCACAAGGGAGAGATCTAGAGATGGAGCACAAAGGCAATGGCTGTAATGGAGATGCACACACATTGCCACAAGTCATGAAATTTCCCAAAAAAGGGAGGGACAAACTTGAAATCAAAAGGTATCTTCAATAACTTCAGGACAGATGGAAGTGCCAAGTGCCAGAATCAGTGTTATTGGGGCAGAAAGAAAAGCCAGGAGAAGCAGAAGTGGGTAAAACTCACTTTGTGTTACAGTGACTACACAGGAGGGTGTAGGATCTTGGGGTGGAAATCATTGGACAGAATGTAGATGTTTCTAGGACATGATTCATCTCACCTCAAAGGAGATGTCAGCATTCAGTCAGATGAATTGTACCTTTTCTCAGTCACAAGGCTGCAAAGGTTGATCCCTTTGGTACCACAAGGGAGAGCCACCAGAGAGGTTCAGTCACTGGTGACTGTTGAGAAAAAAAGATACACCACCAAAAAGTATGTTGTTAGCTACTGTCTCTATGAATAGAGACAGATCTCCTGGGCTACAGTAATACCAGGAATATAATTCTGGATGATGGGACACAACCCTGCAAAAAAATTGTCACAATGGTTAGAACTGAAAGAACAAAGTGGCACATTCCCACCAGTTATGGTTAACCATAACCCAGTTATGGCTATATGGGAAACTTCTCAATGCTAAATGGGACATTTTTCAAAGGCATCAGGATGCTCATTCAAAGGAGCTACAGCAAAAGATCCTGAAAAGGTCTAATCCAGACCTTTCCATTTAGTTTAATTTAATCCCTTTAATTTCATTAAGGAATTCAGAAGTCTAAGAAAAGAATGAGATATATAAAATGTATCTTAGATGATCAACATTACCAGTAAATTGCTAAGGCTTATTGTGCATGCAGAAGAGCCCAGGGAGGTAGAACAGGCCTTTCTGAGCAGCGGTTGGGCAAAACCATGCATATGTTCTGGCTTTTTATTTTTCTGGAGCTATCCCTTGCTGAGGCCCTCTTGTGTTACAGTTCCTGCTGTTACTGGTACCAGCATGGCAGCCTGGCAGGCAGGCATGTCTGCAAGGGCCTGGAGAAGGTGAGAGGAAAAGTGGTGTATGTGGGGAAGGTGTTGGAGGAGGAAGGTGAGGACCAACAGGGTGTTCATGCCCTGGATAAAGGTGTCCTGCGATTGATCGCACCAGCTCTGAGGAACTGGGATGCTGGGGCTTCAGAGAAGATTTGAGATGGCCCAGAGGTCTCAGAGCTAGTTTGTTTGTAATTACTGGGTATGTTGTTTGTATGCAGTTGGAGTTCTTTGTGAGGTCCATGTGGGCTGCTAGCTGCTGTTGTGGGTGTGTGTGAGTAAGGTCAACGTGATGAGAGTTGAAGAGCTGCTGGGTGATGCAGGTAGGGTTGTGTTCAGCCCTGGTCAGCCAGCACTGGACACCGAGGTATAACTGAGGTATCTGCTGGCTCACAACCTAAGCCACAAAACTTGCCTTACTAAGGGGAGGACACATGGCAGGAGGGGCACTGCCCACAACAGAAAGCCCAGGGGAGCACCTCCAGAGCTGCAAGCTTAGTGCCTAGCTGCCTCTAGGGGCAAAAGGAGATGGTGTCCAACTGCAGGAGTTTCCACATCTCCTCTGAGCAACCAGGCATTCACAGGCTGCTGTTTGACATTGGTATTTTTAACTCGTTTTGATTCTTGTTGAGGGTCATTTCAGAAGCGGCGCACACATACGGGGTACTTGAAGCGGCAGGTCTGACTCAGCAGTAGCTTGGTCACTGAGGCACAAAATAGGGAGAGGCACCTTCAGCACTGTGCCTTTTCCTGTGCTGCGAGGGAACAAAGCTCCTTGTCTGCCCTCACCTGCTCCACCACCCTGAGACTACACCCATGCCTTGCAAAACGGCCTGTCTGCAGCCTCACAAGGGGTTGTGGAATGGGCAAGAGATTGCTTGCACATCCGATTGTCAGAAACACAAAAAGCTCCACAAAGTCTATGTCCTGGTTCAGCTGGGACAGGGTTAAGTTTCCCCAGCAGAGAAGGGGGAAGGGATCTCCAGCCGGGTTATTCATACCATGCTGACGTCAGGTCCGAGCGCAGGAATTTTTTTCCTTGGTGGGTTTGGTGGCGGGGAACTCACAGCGGGCTTGTTCCGTAACCATTGCGGTATTTCTCTGTATATCTTTTGTCTTCCTTACTGTTATTGCTGTTTATTGTTGCTATCATTGCTGCTGTTGTTGTTCAGATTATCACACTGTTGTACTAAATTTCTCCTTACTTTAACCCGGGTTTGTGCCTCACGGCCAGCCTGACCGGCTGAGGGTGGGGGAGGCACAACGGCAGCGTGGTCTCTGGTCCCGGCAGGGCTTAAACCACCACAGTCAATATCAGTGAACTCTAGTTTTATCTCTTTTATCTCTTTGAAAATGAATGCTGTGTGAAGAGCTCACCAGCTGCACAGTTTCCCTTAAGAGTGTTTAACATATGATGTTTTGACCAGGGCTCAGATGGGTGGCACCTTGTAGTGGCCTTTTAGTGGCCACGTCTCCTATGGTCCATGAGTGAATCTTCTACTTCAGAAGAAGCATGCAATCTTGGCACACACCAGCGTGACACTGGGTCTTCCACAGAATTGTACTCACTCACACCAGAAGAATGAAGGACCTGTACAGCATAATGAAGCAGAACAGGGCTTATCCCTGCAGTGTTGCTGTTGCTGTTCAATGTAAAGCAATGAGTTTTGCAGTGGGTCTGCAGCAACAGAAGTAATACTGCCTCAGCCTTCTCTAAAGGACTTCAAGACATTTCATGCACCATGCATGGTGCCTTGCCAATGACTTACCCAGCAGGTAACATAGTTTTTCTGGGTTGTAATTTAGCAGCCCAATTACATGAAATACACAGCTCCTGAGGCTGATTTTCTAGCCCTGGCACCTTGCTGACTGCACAGGCAAAATCTGTAGATGCAGGCTGTGTGCCTCTCTGCAGGACAGTGACACAGTGGTCTCCCATGCAATCAGCAGGAAAAGTGGGAGCTAGGGCTGCTCTTGAAGGCAGGGCTTGGCTCTTGCTTTCCTGGTCACCCTAGGACTGGGCAGTGTCCACAAGGAGAAATGCCTTCTGGCAAGCTTCCCTTTCAGCAGGCGGGTCTGCACAGTTATTTTTGGTTTTGAAGGACTTTCATCAAAGCAGGTGACATGAAAAACATCACCTGTGGGCTTAGATGATCCTGGCTTTCTCCTAGCTAGCCTTCCCTCAGCCCTCTCCAGGAGCAAAATCTGGGGGAAGGCAAGGATTGCCTCTCTCCTTTCATGTCAGCAATAAAGCACAAAAGGATAAAGTGATGAACTCTGGGATTTCACCCAGGAGAGACCAGGGCAAGGGACTGGGGGCTTAGAGTGGGGCAAAGGTGCGAAGATGCAGAGGTCACCCCTCCTGCCATGGAGCTGGACAAGGATGGGTGAAAAAGCTCCATCCATTTTTGTTCCTCCAGTTGTGGGATTTTAAGAATGAATGATTCAGGAAAGTGCTGATACAGCAATTAGAAAGTCCATCACACTCGTGTGTGGATGAATACTGAAATATTATGCTTATAAGGAACTTAATAGGTGTAAGGGACTTTTTGGAGACATCTGGGACAATAAAAGGACTGCGTACTTCTCTCTCTGGATTCACATCCTTCTGAAGCCTGGAGCACCATCATCTGCACCGGGATCGAGCCAACAGTACATTATGGGATTTGTGGTGTTGGTAACTAGCCTTGCTGCATCTCTGCTGTTTTTCTTGCTTAGGGATTCTGACTTCTCCTTCCCTTTCCTCTCTGTCCTATCGCTAGTACCAGTTGTATGCTACATAAAGTTCACAAGGTTGTATGGCATTTGACCTTGTTTCTGTCTTAATCTCGCTCTTAGGATTGTTTAAGAACCCTTCCCGATATCAGATCGGGACATTCTAAATTGACGTCACGGACAGGATCCCTTGAGATGAGAGTGCTGTAATACCTTGTCGTGTTGGATGCAAACCTCTCAGGGTGAAATAGTTCTCTGCATGTTATATTAAGTTGTGATCTACTGAGAGTGAACAGGGAGAGCGTGGACAGTGATACTGCATTTGTGCTTCGGTAAGGTATGAACTCTTGAGAGTGAACAGGGGAAAGTTGTGTATCAAGTTGTGGCCCTCTCAGGATGAAAACCTCCTTCTGTGTTGCTTTTGTGTGAGATTTAGATCTGGTCTCCTGGGAGAGAATAGGGGAAATCTGACATTAAGGTTTGACCCTCTCAGAACGATATCCCCTCTGTGTTAGGAAAAGGAAAAGGCTGTGATGATGTGCCCTCAGGGGCTGAAGGAATAGATAAATTAAATGATCTTTTGGAGGTGCACAGATCCCATCCCTCAGTCCAGGGGCGAGATTGGGCTAAAAACCACTGGTTCCAACCACAATGTGTGGTGGATCAGATAAAGGTATTGCAAAAGGAAGCTAAGGTTAGAAAAGGAAAAGCTATAATTTGTGCAGTGTTAGGAGTGAGCCTGGTAGCTGCAATGGAAGAGAGAAAGGAGAAGTCTAGTCAAGCTGACACTTTAATAGACTCACTGCAGACGGTCATACAGACCCTGCAGAACCAATTGAGAGACAGCAAAGAATTGTTAGAGGAGGAAAGGAATCAAAATAGAATATTGAAAGACGAATTGAGGGAATACATTTTGGCAGAGACAGATACACATGCCAAGGCAGAAGTGAAACTTTTGGAGAAGGGGATACGTCAAATCTATCCCCAAGGAGATTTGCAGAAGGCAAAAGAAACTGTAGAAAGTCACCCCCACATGTATCCATTGGTTAAAACAGAGTATGTGTATGAGGACGACAGTGATAACCATCCTCAGGTTATCACCAAGGAAGTCCTATTTACAGCAACTGAATTGGCAAAGCTGAGAAAAGATTTTTCAAAGACTGCAAAAGAATCGGAGACAGAGTATGTGTGGAGAGTGTCTCTGTCAGGAGGAGATGGAATTTTGTTGTCAGAGAAAGAAGCAGAAGGATATTGGGGACCGGGTGTGTTTCTAACCACCGGTGACTGCTGAGCCCCATGGTCATTGACTCAAAGAGTTGCATACTCGGCCGGAGTGCTGAACCCCTTGGAGAGGGGAGATCCCCTTGCCGTAACGGGCACAGTGGATCAGTTAGTGGAAAATATGCAGAAGGCAGCTTGTCTGCAAATGATGTATGATCGGGAGCTCAAGTCCAACTGAGGCTCCCCGATGATGATGCCTGTGGACCCAGAGAGGATGACTCCCCTGATACGAGGACTCCCTGACTCCCTGAAACCCATTGCTATTCAATTGCAAGGGAAGATTCAAAACACTCCTAATGGAGAAAGAATGACGGCCGCTCTGGAAGGGATGGTGACCCCTGACCATCAATGGCCAGGGAGGAAAGTATGGACATGGGGAGATGTAGCCCAGGAATTGATTAATTTTGGGAGAAAATATGGTCCCGTTGGGGGATCGTCCCAAAGAACTGAGACCAGGGTCATGCGGCTGCAGAGCTCATTAGTGGGTAACAATCATACATGAGGAAGGGACAAGGTTCGGGATCACCCCGATTTCAGAAACCTGGGAGAGAGAGGCCTCTAACTCAACTGGGATTGTGGCAACTAGGGCTTTAGAAAGGCATTCCTCAGAAATTGATGGATGGACTCATGACTCAAAAATCAGAACAACTTGTGGAGAAATGGCCAGAGAGAAAGGTCACTTCCAAACCAACCCCTAGTGCTCCACCCTTAATAGATCTTGGGGAGGAGCCGACTGGAGAAAAGAAGGTGATGGGAAACTAGACCCTCCACTCCCCAAAGGTGAGCGGGGATGTGGAGGATGGATGTTTGTAAGACAACTCACCTGCAACACAAAAGGAGACTTATTGATTACTGTTGCTGTAGGACCAAGGAAAAGACTGGTAACATTTCTAATTGATACTGGGGCACAAATTACCGTGCTAATGCGAACTGAAGCACAACAATGTGGAATCGCAATTCCATCCAAAAATCTAATTGTCCTAAAATGCCCTGGAAAAAACAGTCAGTACCTATGACTCCAGTGAAACTACGGTTACCAGGAGAGGAAAACCCAGTCAACACTATGGTGGCCATAGGATCTTTCCAAACGAATCTCTTGGGCATAGATGTTTTGAAGGGTAGGCAGTGGAGGAACATCCAGGGGAACTCATGGTCTTTTGGTGTCTCCCAGATCAGGCAATTGACTGAAAAATCAGACACAGAGATGCACTTATTGCAAGTGGCACCTACCCTGCCTCCCTCTAAATTAACAAATGTTAAACCCTACCCATTGCCTTTAGGAGCAAGGGAGGGAATTGCACCAGTTCTGGAGGATCTGAAAAAAACAAGGAGTTGTAGTTCCCACTCACTCCCCCTTCAATTCTCCAGCATGGCCAGTTTGAAAACCCAATGGCAAATGCAGATTGACAATAGATTACAGGAGACTCAATGCCAATACAGCTAACAGCTGCTGCACCAAATATTGCTGAATTGATATCAACCATTCAGGAACAATCCCACCCTGTCATGGCCACAATTGATGTTAAAGATATGTTTTTCATGATCCCTTTACAACCTGAGGACCAGGATTGCTTTGCCTTCACCTGGGAAGGACAACAGTACACTTTTACACGACTCCCTCAGGGATACAAGCACTCCCTCACGCTAGCTCACCATGCTCTAGAGCAAGAAACAATCCCCAGAAAAGCAGAGGTGAAGATTTATCAATACATAGATGATGTACTCATAGGAAGGACCCAGGTAGAGGAAGTTAGAGAAACTCAGAAGGACATTATCACCCACCTAGAAAGTATAGGGTTGACAATCCCACCTGAGAAAATACAGACCCCTTCAAGTGAGGTAAAATTTTTAGGGATCTGGTGGAAGGGAGGCATGACATGTATCCCACTGGATACTCTCTCCTCTCTTAATCAGATCAAAATGCCAGGGTCAAAGAAAGACTTGCAACGTGCACTAGGGCTGCTTGTGTTCTGGAGGAAATACATTCCTGACTTTTCCATTATTGCTAGGCCCTTGTATGACGAGAGCTCAGTGGGAATGGATTCAGGTCCATGATGAAGATTTACAGCTGTTGATGTTTAAGCGACTGCCTATCAAGCCCTGGGTCCAATTCACCTGACAGATCCGGTTCAAATTGAATGGGCTTTGCCAAGACTGGACTGTCCATCCACTTACAGCAAAAGGGTCTGGAGGGTCCTGTTAGGTCCACTGGTTTTTAGTCTCAGAGTTTTAAAGATGCTGAAAAAAGGTACACAACTTGGGAAGAAGGTCTATTTGTAGTCAGTCTAGCTTTAAGAGAAGCTGAATGCGCCATCCGGCAACAATCTATAATTCTCAGAGGCCCATTTAAAGCGATCAAAGCAGTTTTGGCAGCAACTCCACCCCCTGATGGGGTGGCCTAGAGAGCCTCTGTGCGAAAATGGTATGCACAAATAGAACACTATTGTGAAATATTTTCTGTAACTGAAGGAGCCACAAAAGTGTTAAATATACAGGATGAGGTAGACCCGAGTAGGGAAACACCCGAGCTTTTGCCTGTGATACAAGTAGCTCCCCAGTTTTCTGGACAATTGCAAAATGTCTGGTTTACAGATGCCTTGTCAAAGCAAGAGGGAAAAATTTGGAAATGCCAAGCTGTGGCACTTTGGGTAGACACCAAGGAACAAATCATTACCGAAGGAGAAGGTAGCGCACAAGTAGGAGAACTAATTGCTGTGTGGAGTGTTTTCCAACGTGAGGCTCAATCTGCTTCTTCTGTCTATATCTATACTGACTCTTATGCTGTGTTCAAAGGTTGCACTGAATGGCTTCCATTTTGGGAACAAAATGGATGGGAGGTCAATAGAATACCTGTATGGCAAAAGGAAAAATGGCAAGATACCCTTACCATTGCCAGACAAGGGAAATTTGCAGTAGCTTGGGTGGCATCTCATCAGCAAGATGATACCCCCATGAGCCAATGGAACTCCAAGGTGGATGAACTAGCCTGGCTGGGTCCCCTACAAAGCACCCAGATAGCAGAAAATTGGGAATGTCTGTTAGAATGGCTACATGTAAAATAGAAACATTCAGGAATTAAAGACCTGTATTGTGAGGCACAAGCCTGAGGGTGGCCAGTTACCAGAGAAGAATGTAAAACTCCCGTATCTTCTCGTGAACAATGCCGCATCCGTCTGGACAGACACCTGCTGGAGAGTGACCCCCTGCACTTAAGAGAGGCAAAAGGCCTCTGGGAGGCCTGGCAGATTGATTACATTGGCCCTTTTTGAAAATCAGAAGGAAAATACTATATATTGGTAGGCGTAGAGATAGTATCTGGGCTAGTGCAAGCTAAAGCATGTGCTAAGGCAACAGGAGAAAACACCATAAAAGCTCTGAAAGAATGGTTTGGAATTTTCCCCAAACCACAGTCAATCCAATCAGATAACGGCTCACATTTCACAGCCAAAGTGGTCCAAGAGTGGGCAGCCCAGGAGGGAATATTGTGGGTGTTTCATACTCCGTATTACCCACCAGCAAATGGAATTGTGGAAAGAACAAATGGTCTACTAAAACGCTTCCTCAAACCGCACAAGCCAGGATGGGCTGGGTGAGTGTGAGATGCAGTGACCAGCGTCAACAGTTGCTGGGGGATAAATGGATGCCCAAAGATCACAGCCTTCTGTCCAAAACCTCCAAAAATCATGCCAGCCCCACATGGTCCTGACCACCCCAGCAATCCATCACATTTCCCAGGACAACCTGTCCTGGTTGAACTCCCCACGGTGGGCAAAGTGCCACTGGTGTTGGACACACCTCTTAATAAATACACCTGGAAGGCAAAAGATGCCAGTGGGAAAACTCACAAGATTCACACTAGATGGATTGTTCCTTCTTTCTAACCCGAGAAGCAAGTTTGTCTTTTGTTCCACTTTCAGGAGGAAGCAGGTGACACAGACGCACCCACAGAAGAAGTGAAGCAGACACAGGTCTTAGTGTAATTTGGTCAGGATGTATATGCTATCTTTTATTATAGTATTTTGCGGTTTTACCTGTGAGAGTGAAGGGAAACCAATTCCCCCATTTATGGTCTTGATTACCCGGAGCACCATGGGTAAAACAGCTTTTATTTTATCTGTTATGTGTATTTGCTGCCTTGATGGTTTTGCCCTGTATTATTCCTTGCTTTATTCAGTTAATCCAATATGTTGTATCCAACATGCAATTTACATCTACTGCCTCACATGATGGTGTAAAACAGATTTGTGCTGTTCGCCAATCAAAGTCTGCTGCTGTATCAATTATTTAAACCCTTTATATATATATATATATATATAAACCATATATATATACACATTATATATATATATGTATATACGTCTTTGTTTATATTTAGGATAGGTGCTTTTAGGCCTAAACAACACATGCGCTTTGGGCTGGGGGCGTGGAAATCCATTTTCTTGCTGCATAGACAGACCCCCAACTCAGGTGAGTCAGACCACCATTTTGGAGCTCTGGAATCTATTGCAATCATGTACATGGATTGCATTTCAGATTAGCCTTAATCCTTGTTTTGTCGGCTATTGCCTTACTTCTTATTGTAATGTTTCTTTTTTGTCGCTGTGACTGTCAATTTTGTAAACTACCTTCGTGTTCTTCTGCTGCTTCACCTGACCAACAACTACTGCGTTCTCCTGCTGATTCCCCTGAGTCTCCTCAACAACCATCTTATTCTTCTACTGTTTTACCTGAACCTCAGCTGCCCTCGTGTTCTTTTGCTGATTCTCCTGAATCTCAGATTTAGTTTGTAGGAAGTCTTTGTTTTATAAAGTTAATTAGTTTTAATATTGTTATAAATAATAGTATTGTTTACTTGTTTTGGTTTGAATTTAGAATAGAATTTTCTAGGCTCACATGACACATGTGCTTTAGGATAAGGGCAGGGGTAGAAAGCCATTTTCCCTCTGCACATGCTGATCCCAATCCCAGCAGACTGGAGCAGCTGACCACGTGGACTTGCAGGGCCCCAACCATCTTGAAGTACTTTTTGTTTACAATTGTGAAAAAATGGATTGCATTTTAGCATCAATTTTAATTCATGTTGCCTTTTGTTGCCCTGTTGGCTATTATCTTGCTTATTATTGTTACACTTTTGTTCTGTCCCTGTAAGTACTTCCCATAGAGACTGTCGGTGCGTCCCTCTGCTGATTCATCTGAGCCTCAAAACTAGTTTATAAAATGTTCTGTTTTATAAAGTTAGTTTTAAACATGTTAAAATTGTTCTTGGTTATATGTTTGTTAGATAAAGATGTTTATAGTTGTTAAGAATATTGTTAAAAATACATAATTGTTACATAAAAATGTTCTGTGTTGTTAAGAATACTGTTAAAAGATGTTTATCAATTAAAAGTTTGTCAGAAATTTTATTTGTCATTGTATTGCGCACTTTTCTAGCCTTTCTCTCTCTGTCTCTACACTGTTATCTTTCACGCCACCACAAAGACAGCAGTGTTGAGCCACGGGGTGGTGTAAGGGACTTTATGGACTTTCCGTCTCAACATTGCTATCACACCACCACCATTTCCCGGCCTCAATGTCCCATGGACAGGGAGAAGCACACTCAGCAGAAGAATTGTCCCAGACAAAACCACGATGTCCGTCCAAAGTTAAATCAGGACGAAGAAGACATGCAGGCCGGCACGACCACCATGAATGCCAGGGCGTGTATGCTTGGAAGACCATGAGATAATGAGTCCTGTGGAAATGGGCGGACTGTTTGGAGA